CGGATAAGCCCATCAAAAGAGAGGGGCGGGGTAAATAGCTAGTGTAATGAGGCCACACTAGGTTTGTCACAGAAGGGCACACATTTTGACGATTGGAATGTGAACAAGTGAGAAGTTGTGATAGGGCGGCAGTGGGATAAGAGTGTAAAGAATAGATATATAGACAATGACAGAAAGAGGAGTGATAGTGTAACCGTTTTCGACAGAACGGTTTTCGAGGTATTGACTTCACTTGTCTCTGACGCGTTCGTAGCTTGGTGCGGAAAATGGCAAAGCCCTAAAGTTATGGATTTAAGGCTTTATGACACATAGTAATTAGGTTAGATAAACACAATGGAACTACTCGAAAAGAGAGATAAAAGCTAGATCATCCGAATTCAGGCCTGAATACGCTAGTAGATAGGCTGAGTATATGCATGCAAATTCTAACACAAAGCTGGACTTTCTTTCCAACCCATATTAAACGCACAAATCAGAATATAGTAGGCAACATGATATTGTGCTGACAATTCAAGGAATAAGCAGAGTAAAATCAATGTGCTATAGCCAGGGCCTTATCAGAAACTTAGCGGATATCCAAGCCTTCAAAATTGAAGTAAGATTTTTCATTTGTAGATAAACCAATAAAAATGAGGAAGTATAATCAAAATTCTAAAAAATGGCTTGATTAAAGAATTTTAAAAAAATAATAGGGACATAATGCTAAAAGATTATCATAATATGAACAATCAACTAGAATTGAGATAGCTTACGTATGTTTTCCGTATCTTCCCCTCCGTCTGGCTGGGGAAGTTCATCGTTAGGCCCAGGACCATAGGCACGACAGTTAATGTGCGCCATTTTTACGTATCTGTTCTGCTCAAAATTACCCACCAACACACGTAACTTTGATTCAACAAGACCACAGAGCCCTGTGAATGAGCTCAGTGATCGCCCAATTACAATTACAACAACATAATGTTTGTATGTGAAGAAGAAGGCATACTCAAAAAGCTCAGCCCAAGTGCGTTTGCGTAGCATAACATCGCGGACAATACTAAGGCCTGAAAGTAAAATGAAACGAGATAACTCAAGATTATGATCAAATAAAGTGTGAAAACTGCATATTCTGTAGCCCAGGTTGTAACTTTGATAATTAGCACATTATTCTAATATCACATTACGAAATCTAATTAAGCAACAGAACTCCATTCCATCCTAAAGAATGTTACTTAAAATGAAGACTGATCTTTTTACAAGGTAAAAGATATAAGATTATAAGACGTTATGGACAATGATATGGTTTAGATGTTCTCAATGTTTAATTATTTGAAAAAACAAAGGTTCATTATGTATGCGGGAAGAACCAGGTAATGAGAGTAGTTTTACTTTATATTACTTTAATCATAATCATCATTTAGATTCGATATTTCAGCAATGAAAAGCTTCTTCTAGGATGGAGAATTATGAATTACATTTAAAAAATGAATTTAAGGAAAATTAACTTGATGGAGGATCAGATTATGTCAGGGCTTCAGCTGATTCGTTCTATCTCCGATTCTGGTTTGATATCGGCCTTTTCATTGGCAAGAATTTACGTTAGTGCATTTGGTAAAATTAATCGACTACCTCGTTACCTCTCCGTTGGCTCAAATGAATGAGGATGGGGAAAAATGAGGCGATGTGATATTCAAGATTGGAAAACAGGTAAAGGAGCTATGAAAAATGGCAGTGTTAACAATTGGTGCAATAACGGGGAAACTATACACGGATAGGCTGCCTTGGTAAGAAGATATGATAATGCAATTCTATAGGTGAACAATATATTGGGTCAACAAAGCAATTTGGAGCTTATTAAATCTACGGAGGCAAAATATTTATACAATGTCGTCTTAGTCTTAATTGCATAAATAGTGAGGAACATTTAAAAGCAAATAGAAAATACCCTACTAAATTTGTCAATAATTTAAAAATATTACTAAATTTGATGAATTGTCTTTCTTAGTCTGCTAGTGGTTTCAAGTTAGCTAGTCATATTACTTGCAATTGGATAGATGGAATGCCAAAATTCGATTTTTTGAGCAAATACTCATTTAGAAAAAATTTGTTATCTTAGAAAATGATTCAAAGAATGCATTAATTCAAATTTTACTGCCTATATAAATCAGAGGAAGCGATTCATAAAAATGAAGTGTTGCTGAAAGCACATTATTTTACTAAACAAAAGAGTTAATTGAACAAACTTGCCAATCTTGAGCTCGCGTTCCAAGATTATTCGATTACTACGTTGTACATTGTAGGTAGAGTTTTGGGAAGGATAACTTGGCGTAAGTATTGGCATAAGATGATATTGATCCGTAGGATTTGACTAAAAAGTGTTAAGTAAGTCATTACTCAAAAGTAAACTTTGAAAAATGCTTGTGCTAAATGGAAGCTATAAATTAGCAAACAAAAATCCTGTTATCCTGCAATTTATCTCGTGTACAGTTTGTGCGATGTTCCGCTAGTTATGATCTTTCGGTATCCATTTACCTGCAGAGCCTTTGTTGTTCCTTGATCCGTATGCTAATTTTTCTACCTGTTTCGTCAATATATTTTTGTTCGCAGGCGCTGCATGATATATAGTAAACTCCTGAACAGTCCAATTTGTCTACCCTTTCATGTTGCGTCAGTAGACTTGTAAAAATTGTTGATTTCTATTTCATAACCATCTGAATACTCCATTTACTCGATATTGGCCGTAGATTTTGAGTTAGTTCGCAGGAAGTCAGGCATATCCACTTTTGTGAATCTTTCATCGTCCTTACTATTTTTTCATAGTCCTCATTCTGCCATGGGCTTTTCACGGCCCATATGTTTCTTTGTATTTTTTCATCTGGGTAGCCGTTGCCGAGGCATATTCTCGTCAATTTGTCCAGCTCCTCGTCCCAGAATTCTACATCTGTCAAGCGTAGGCTTCGGATGATCCTGCTCCTCATTATTCCTATCTTTAGCCAGCACTTGTGATGGGACCGAAAATTGAGTATTATCCTAGCAGACTTATTTCTGAAAAATTTGTTTTTAAGCGTTCCATTATAGCTAATCACTTCAACATTCAGGAACGGTAACAACTCACCTTCCTCTACTTCCATCGTGAATTGAATTTTTTCATCAATCTGGTTTACAAACTTCCTAAATTCTTTGAGTTTTTCTCTTTAATGTGACCAAAATGCAAAATAATCATCCAGGTATCGCATGAGCACTACCGATTCTAGCGGTGCCATTTTGAACTCTTCTATTTTGTTCATATATAAGTTTGCCAAATTTGATGAGAGCGGCGATCCTATGAGAAGTCCAAATATTTGTTCATAGCTGTTCTAGTTGAATGTAAAATAGGCTGTAATTATTATCAAGTTGATTAATCTTGATAATGACTTCCTCCTGATCAGCTGATTCCAGGATATCCTCCTATCGGTACAGGATTTACTGCAGGGCTGTTAGGGCATTTTCTTTAGAGATATCTGTATACATGGATTCCACTTATAAACTTACCAATAAGTCAGTTTCTCCAAG